ACGTTCGCACTCGTGTTGTGTTGTGTACTACTACATCTTCTCTCCTCTAGCTTCATTACCGCCGGTTTGAGGAAAGATTTTTCAATTTCAAACAGAGTTGATTCGTTTTTGATGCATCAGCATATCAGTTGACGGTCTGTGCCCCGTGAAAAAACAAGCTTTCCGACACGAAGGAGAAGAAAAACCAGAGCTGTTTTTCCTCAGCCACGGGCTGAACAATTGAGGCCAAAAAGATGTTCACAATTTTCGATAGTCAGCCTCTTTTACGCCAATTTTACGCGTAGCCAAAAAGATTTCGGGGTCGCTCGCGATCACTTCAAACAAGCGCAATGCATCAAACGCAACAAGCACGCAATTGACGCTACACTGTGCTTGCACACACTCGGACAGAAGCTTTCGTTTTCTGACACTGCCAGGACGCTTTCAGTCTTTCTGTTCCAAATGACTTGAACAGTTCGCGACACTGGGCAGAATAAAAAACATTCTGGAACCAAGGAAAAAGGAAACCTGAGTGGGCCTGTGTTTTTCTTGGCCTCCCTGCTGAAAGTCCCTAAGCCTCTTTAGCCCCTCTTCAGCCCCTAAAGCCTTTAGTCCCCCCCGGATTGGCCCGAAAAAGGTCCATTTCCAGTAAATAGAAAGAATTCGTGTAGAAGACATGACCGGGATGCCCTGGCGGGGAAGGGATGCCCTGTGAGGACGCCCTGCCAGGGCTCAAATGGGGGAAGCCCTAGAAGGGTACCCTGGTAGGGCCCAAGTGGCAGCGACTCCCCCCACTTAAATTTCGGGGCGGCCCAAATGGGCGGTGCCCCAGGACTGGCCTCGATTTCTTGTAAATTGAGAAAGATGTGGTCCTATCCACGATTTTGGCTTATTCTCCAGGCTGGGCTGGCCAGAGGCCCCCTGGTCCGGCAGACGCTGTGGACGGCCACGTGGGGGGGGGTAGGGGGGGGGATCCCCCCCAACAAACCGGCACACAAACCCACGGTTTTGGCTTAATAGGCCTGGTCCGGCAGACGCTGCGGTGGGGGGGGACCCCCCAACAAACCCGTTACCGGGGCTCGCTGGGCAATGGTCTGGGCTTCGGGGTATTAGCTTTACTGCGTAGAGAGGTGTGCTGGCCGGGCACACTCGTAAGCCTACCTCACGTGGTGGTATGGCTAAAGCCTTACTCGCTAAGCGTCAGTTTCAGGCCCAAGCTGGAGGCTTAAGCCTCCAGCGCAGCTCGCAGACATTACCAAATTGCAAAGCCTCTCGCAGCTCAGCTGCTCGGCTCTGCCGAGCTCGGCAGCGGCCGCTCGGGCTCTGCTGCACGCTCCATCGAGCCCTCGCTAAGTTTAGGGTTTAGGGTTTAGGGTTGAGGGTTGAGGGTTTAGGGTTTAGGTGTCCCACAGTCAAGCTTTGTAAAGAGGTTCAGGTTCGTTTCCCATACAACTGACTCTGCCTCACAGAGAACATCCCGACCTAAATGCAATTAGGGTTTAGGGTTTAGGGTTTAGGGTTTAGGGTTTAGGGTTTAGGGTTTAGGGTTTAGGGTTTAGGGTTTACATGCTGCTTCTGTATCTATGTTTGCACACTGCGTGCACGTTGCCATTCGGTTCACAGCACAAGCAGCCCTCTTTCACCATAAGACTAGAGCCCACCCTCATTTTTCGAACACCCCTGAACCAAAGACCACGTAGACCCAAGACCAACCTAGGAATAGAAAAGGGTACTCTTTTTGGTCCAACGGGGATGATAAAGGAATCTACCCCCCCCCCCCCCCACCCCCCAAAAAAGGAACATGGAACAAGTCGCCCTAAACCCTAAACCCTAAACCCTAAAACTCAAAACTCCCCCCAAATACCGGGGGGACTAAGGCTTAAGGGGGCCTGTCTCGGGGCCACTTCGCGGGGCTGAACCTCCCCGGCGCTTGGCCGAGGAACTGCGAAGCTGATCCCAGGGCGCGCACGCCTGCAACAAAGCCATCCCCAAGGGGAACTCAGGAAGTGCCTTTAAGGAATGGGGTTTAGGGTTTAGGGTTTAGGGTTTAGGGTTTAGGGTTTAGGGTTAGCCGTGCCCGAGTATGGTTATAAGTATAGTTATAAGTACAGCTATAATTGGTGAATAAGTACCATGAACCTCCAAGTAAGCCTTGGCCCAGTTCCCTGTGCTTTCCGGATCTTGCTTGGAGGCTCATGGGTACTTGAAGGTTCATGGTACTTACTAACCAATTATAACTGTACTTATAACCATGCTTATAATAGTTATAATTGGTTAGTAAGTATCATGAACCTCCAAGTAGCCATAAGTCTCAGCCCTCCCTACATGGGGTCAGCTCGTGAGTGAAAACCTGGTGATGTTCGCTGTGGCGCTTCACATGTCTTTTTGAATGGGGGTTGGCTAAACCCTAAACCCTAAACCCCAAACATCCCTAAACCCTAAACCCTAAACCCTAAACCCTAAACCCTAAACCCCAAACCCTAAACCCTAACTGGTTCTTCTCTTGCCGGTCCCTGGCGGCTCCACTTGGGTTTCGGCGTTTGTGGGCTTGCACGTTGTTGCTCGTTCCCGGTGTCTTGGCTGCCCCCGTTGGCTCGTCTGAAAGGGTGATGGCGTGGAGTTGCTGGCGGGCCAATTTTTGTTGTGTTGTGCGTTTGTGCGAGTGTGTGTGGATAGGTGTGGGTACGTCTCTTGGCTGCACTGCACTTGGCTGACTGCTCCAGTTGGACCTCTCGCGGAGGTGTCGCCGTGACGGTTTCGGAGTGCACGCGATGCGGGGGGGGCGGGTGGGACGTGGTTGCAAGGCAAGCGAGTACGCTCCCTTGCCGTGCTTCTTCCTTTTCCTGCTTCCTTGCTTCCATAATCGAAAAACAACTTAGTAGCCCAGTATCCATATCATCAAAAGGGCACCCTGTTTTTGGGGTTGGTTACTTTTTTAAGGGAACCCAGAACCGCCAAAACAGGGTAAAAGGGTATGACTGGGCTACCGAGACACGATAAAACCCTAAACCCTAAACCCTAAACCCGAAAACGCCCCTCTTCAGGCCCTCGAGCCCCGACGTTGCAGACCTGCAGCTCATCGAAGAACCTGGGGCAGCTACTTTGGTTGTTCTACATTCCTTGGGGATGTTAAGCCCTAAGCCCTAAGCCCTCAGCCCTCAGCCCTAAGCCCTAAGCCCTAAACCCTAAACCCTAAACCCTAAACCCTAAACCCTATACTAACAGTCCTTCATAGGGATTATAATAGGGGGCACCAGAGTCCTTATTCAGGACTGCTAGTATAAGGGGGAGCATCCTTATACACTCCCCGTAGAAGCATTGTAGAAACAATAACAACCTGCACTTCTCAACGTGGGCACTATGTCAACAGTAATAGAACATCATCCTTATGAAGGACGATACAGTGGTTTAGGACATCTGTTGGGGTCTTATGTGGTGCTGTAACCCTACACCCTGCACCCTAAACCCTAAACCCTAATAAAAAACCTAAACCCTAAACCCTAAGCGGTACTCATATGCATCTCCTTTCTGGCTTCCCGACACCAGAGCAGGTCGGGAACGGAAAGCCAAGCCTTCGAACAAAAGGCAAGCAAGCCTGAAAACCTAAACCGTAAACCCCAAACCCTAAACCCGCAAACCCCAAGCCCCGCACACCTCGAACCACAAACAGCCGTTAATCCTGAACACGAAATCCTAAACCCCTAGAATACCAAAGGGCGAAAAGGCGCAACTAGGCTTTCTGGAAACTTCATCCCGGCCTAAGGGCACCTGCAAAGTGATCTCTTCACCGTACCGAGGCTGCAAAGGCCCCAGGAGTATCAACAATCCCCTTCGAACCAGAATAAAGTAACATCGTTGAAAACCTCTCGGTTCTTTGAACAAAATAAAGCAAACAAATATCAGGTAAAAGCCCCTGAATCCTAAAGGTGTAAAAGGGGTTTAGCGAACCCTGCTTGAGGAAGAGAACCGGTGCGCCTTTTAGGGTCGAATCCTTAGACACCCTCCCTTCCCATATTCAGACACCCCCACAAAACAAGCCCAACTTCTCCACCAAGAGCCAAAGGAACACGAAAAGGTTAAACTTCATTATTCCTTCTAAATAAGAACACGAAACTTACATCCTCCACAAAAACTCCTCTGGCATATAGGCCTGCAAGTATTGGTAAGGTAGCTGATTCCTCAATTAAAGGGTATTAAGGGTTTCCTGGTAACCCGGCAAGCCTAAACCCTAAACCCTAAACCCTAAACCCTAAACGCTAAACCCTAAACCCCAGCATCGTATCATAAGGTATCCTTTTCTTTTGGTTGGTCACTCACAGAAGAATTGGCAAAAGGTTACCACTGGGCTACCCAGCCTCTTTGGGTGAAGGCCCCTAAACCCTAAACCCTAAACCCTAAACCCTAAACTCTCCTCTGAATTCGGCTCGGCAGCTCCTGCGCTGCCTCGCGGCCGACGAACTCGGGCCACTTGAAGGCGAAGCAGCGGCGCCCAGGGTCGCTGACGAGGGTTTCCTGGGTTTAGGGCTTAGGGTTTAGGGTTTGGGGTTTAGGGTTTGGGGTTTGGGGTTTGGGGTTTGGTGTTTGGGGTTCGGGGTTTAGGTTTAGGGGTCAGGCTTTAGTTAGCGTTTGTTTCCTCAAAATACAGCGGGGTCCCTTATATGGTTTAAGGACATATTCCTGGACTAGGGAGTAATGAAGTCTCTGGTATCTCATGGCGGCACCCAGTAGAGCATCAGCACACTATAAGGGCTCGACTCAAGAAGGAAAGTGCTTGAACCCTAAACCCTAAACCATAAACCCCCTGAGAGTCGGGTGTGAGATACGAGCAGGTGCCTCACACACACTCCCCACAACATGTCCAGTCCCCAAAGCCTAAACCCTAAACCCTAAACCCTAAACCAAAGGAGTTCTGCTGTGAGGGTCTTTTCTTCGCCGTGCCCCGCCTCTCGTTGACGTGATGCCTTGAGCAACTTGGAACGAGCGGCATACTTTCGCGTGCTACGGTGCTCAGAGTTGTTGACTCAGAAGGTTGATGGGTGGCAGCGCTGGTAGTTCTCGAAGTAGTAACCTAGGAGGGCCCTAAACCCTAAACCCTAAACCCTAAACCCAATAAGGGAAAATAAAAAGATGTCCCAAGGGCCTACCGAGTAGCGTCCAACCGATCGAAAAGCTGGGCATGGCGCCTTGAACTGCTGGCCGGGGAACGCCGGCTGCCCCGTGAGCCAAGGCACTTGCCTGGGCTGCCACCAGGGAATGGGCCTGAGTTGCTGAGCTCATAAAGCCCCCGCCCCCCCCCCCCCCCAAAAAAAAAAAAAAAAAAAAAAAAAAAAAAAAGAAAAAGTGTACACTTTCAGTTCTACAGGGGATGACTGCTATTTGCTTAAGAACACGCAACCCCCCCCCCCCAAAAAAAAAAAAAAAGTCAATGACAAATCCCTCTATTACCCCTATAATCCTGATAAGGAAGAATACTTATACTATTGCGGGGTTCTTTAGCAATTCGTAGATTGTAGTATCCCAAAAAATGCAGCAAGTGCACTCCTTCAGCTAAACCCTTTTTGCACAGGCTTGTCTCAGCGCGCCTGGTTCAGCTAAACCCTAAACCCTAAACCAAGGGGCTTCTTCGGCGGATCCTTCGGAATGCTTTCCCGTTCCCACACGGACTGACGAGCCCAGGAGAGTCCACGAGAGGAGGTGCGTTGACTGCTCAACGCCTGGGGGGGAGTCCGAAGTTTGGTCTTTAGGGTTTAGGGTTTAGGGTTTAGGGCACCTTCTTGGGGTCCTTGTTACAACTACTTGGGGCCACTCTACTGCGGGCCCCTTCTTTTCGTCAACCTCCCCACCTGGCTCCTGAGCAAGTTGGGCTGAGACTGGGAGAAGCCCGAGCGTGAGATGACAGGGCGCAAGCGGAACGGCGATCGGCTGAGATGGCAAAGGTCGCTCTGCTGGCCGATGACCTCCAAGACTTTGTCCACCTGGGTATTTAGGGTTTAGGGTTTGTTTAGGGTTTAGGGTTTAGGGTTTAGGGTTTAGGGTTACCAAAATAAAGGTACGCTTTTTGCGGGGGGTCCCTTGACAGTAAGGGGATTCTCTTGTTGGGATCCAAAAGGGGTACCCCCTCCCCTCTATTTTCGGAAAGCCCCCGCCTGGAGCCGCCAGCCTACATCAAGTTCACGAGCCCGCACGATGACATCATACAGCTCATGCTGCTCCTCCTCTACTATTCGCTTAAGAACCCAAGTAAAACATGATAATCCCTATACTACCACCCAAAAGAGTAAAACATGATAATCCCTATACTACCACCCAAAAGAGTAAGACATGATAATCCCTATACTACCGGTAAAAAAGAAGAGTCTTTTGATTCCTTTGGGGTTCTCAAGCAATTTCTAGTCCTCGTCGAGCAGCCACCACTCGCTGCAAACCTCCCCAAGCACCTTGGCTGACTTCTGAAACCCCTCCTAACAGCTTAACCTTGCAAGTCTCCTTCTTGCAGCTTCTACCAAAAAAAACCCAAAGCTTAACCTTTAAGGCTCCTTATTGCAGTTTCTACACAACAAAACCCAAAAGGCCCAAGTTTCCGAAGAGCCAGCCAGAACAAAAAAAGCCAAGGCACATCCAACGCAAAGGATCGCGCGACGGGACCCTGAGCATGGCTCAAGACCCGCCCCACCAGTCGAAGACCGGCTGTGGGCGAGTCCTTAGTTGCTAGGTTTAGGGTTTAGGGTTTAGGGTTTAGGGTTTAGGGTTTAGGGTTTAGGGTTTAGGGTTTAGGGTTTAGGGGAGTTCATAAGCCCCCCCCCCCCCCCCCAAAAAAAAAAAAAAAAAGTGTACACTTTTGGTCTTGTAGAGATTATAATGAGTATCCCAAAAAAGTGTATAGAGTGTACACACTCAGCTACTAAGAGTCTAGGCATTGCCTGCGCACCTCTCCGACAATGTCATCCACCAAGCGTGACATGGGGGCATCTGGCGCTTGTGCTCCTTGGTGGCCCAAGAGGCATACTATGATGAGGGTATCCTTTTTTGGGGGGCTGGCTACGTTTATAAGGGAACCCAGAACCCAAAATGGGCAACAAAAAAAAAGGGTGCCACTCAGCTACCTCAAGGATCTCTCCGCAAGCGCCTCCTCAAAGAGCCTCACCTCTGTGAAGCCCCATCGCTTTGGCTCCACCGCGTCCAGGGTCAGGAAGTTGCAGGCCACCACCGGCATGCTGGTCTACGTTGAAAAGTGGACGTTGTCAAGCAAATGCTGCTTTGCAATGCCAACGAGAAAACAAAACAACTTCTAAGGACTGTTGTGCACATGCTGCAATAGGTAGCAGTCTGCACCCTATGACGGAGACTGTGCACAGGTGATACAGCGACTTGGACCAGCACCTGGTAGCAACTCAAGCTCTGGCAGCATGCTCTACCTTCGCGTACTTAGTTGCTGAGTTCAGAAGCCCCCCCTGAGAAGTCTACACTTCAGTTCTATAGGGGATTCTAGTATCCCAAAAAAGCGCCAAGTGTACTCAGTCAGCTACTAGGTTTAGAAAGTTTGCCATCGCTGTCGGTCAGTGCCGAGTCCAACCACTCGTTAGGTCTTGAGGAGGGTTTTCTTTAGGGTTAGGGGTTTAGGGTTTAGGGTTCAGGGTTTAGGGTTCAGGGTTTAGGGTAACTCAAGAGGAGGATGCTTCGCAATTGCAAACTGAGCCTCAGCTTTGTTCGCCTCGTCGCCGCCTGATTCAAGGCTTTCAGGTTGCGTAGGGTTTGGGGTTTGGGGTTTATTTAGGGTGTAGGGTTTAGGGTTTAGGGTAAGCTTGTCTACCAATGGAGTCCGGGGTTGCTGTTTGCGATTTCGGGGAGGGGCGCTGGGATTGTGACAGCCCCTTGAATAAGGTCTTACTTGGAGGTGGTTCAGATACAAGTAGGCTACTATTTGCTTAAGAACCCCAAAAGAAAAAAACATAATCCCTATACTACCCTTATCAGGGAGAATATTTTGTGTTTTTTGGGGGTTCTTAAGGCATCAGTAGTAGGGCAACTGCCCTGAGTCATGGACATCAAGCAGCACGGGGTCCAGAGCGTCATGCTGTTAGGATTTACGGGTTAGGGTTTAGGGTTTAGGGTTTAGGGTTTAGGGTTTAGGGTTTAGGGTTTAGGGTTTAGGGTTTGAGATCCTGACGAGGAAAATGCCAGCTCAGCGTAATCTTGAGATGGCACATCCTCCCGCGTAGCCTGGTGGAACATCCTTTGGAGAGGCGTGGATAGACCCTTGGCCTATGGCTCTTACAACCTGGCAGTGTGAGGAGGGTTTAGGGTTTCGGCTCTAGCCTCTGTAGCCGCTTCACTTATGTCTCGCATACACAGGGTTCAGCATTCCCATACCCTTTTTGAACCATCGGAATACCCAGAGCCCTAAATCCTAGCTCTAGAAGGTCAAAACGTGTCCCAAAGAGCCCCATGCCCCTTCATTAAGGAACATACCTTCAACTAATGTAGAGGGCCCCTTATTGTGATTTAAGGGCCAAGCTCAGTGATATTGGCTAAGTACGCGTTTCGAGGCTTAGAAGCAGCCAGGGAATGCACGAAAACACAGCTGACTGGCTCCATTTCATCTAGGGCCCTGAAAGGTTACCACTTATACGAAACAGTCCTGAATAGGGATTATAGTACCCCTCATGAGAATCCCTATGAAGGACTCCTAGCATAAGGGGGAACATCCCAACTACGGCCCCTTACGCTCAACAAGAGGGAGCCCTAAACCTTAAACCCTAACCCTTTTTGTTTTAGGGTTTAGGGTTTAGGGTATACCCAATGTACTGCTGACATCAAGCCGAGTCCAGCTACTCCAAACTTTGCATCGTTGAAGCCCACAACTCACGGACTGAAGACACTAGCCCTAACCACTAGACTTGGCCCTAAACCCTAAACCCTAAACCCTAAACCCTAAACCCTAAACCTTAAACCCTAAACCCTAAACCCCGCCGAGGCCGACTGGGGTTCAATGGAACCCACGGAACAACCGAGCGCGGCGCCGGAGTGGCAAAGGAGCCGAAGTGGCTCGGGGTCCTCCGGCTCTTCGCAGGCAGCCTGGGTGTTTAGGGTTTAGGGTTTAGGGTTTAGGGCCGCCAAGCAAACGGTTGATGGTGTTGGGGGCTTAGGGTTTCGGTGCTCACTCTCGCACACAGCAGGCAAGGCTGCCAAGGCCCACTCTGACTCTGACTGAAAGACTCCATAACAAAGCAATGTGCTTCAGGGTTTAGGGTTTAGGGACTGAGCATGTGTGTCGTGTTTAGGGTTTAGGGTCACGCCAATCAGCCTTGTCGAGCACTGCATCACTTGTTCGGTTGCCCACTCTTGTCCACGCGCCTCCCTCACTTTAATTATCTGTGCACACGCTGCAGCCATTGGGTGTTCCGCAAAGCAGGAGTACCCCAAGAATCATATCCCCGAATACGCTTTGTCCTTTTTCCAGGAAACCCCCTTGGGGGCGGGGATCATACTAGGGATCCTTGTATGGTTTAAGGTATATTCCTTATTTGAGGCGTGCCCCTCTTTTCGGAAATCCCCCATTGAACTCATTGAAGAGTCTGTACAGGTACACCCAGAGACTCCAGTACCCCTTAACTAAGGAACATTCCTTAAAGTACCCTAAACCCTAAACCCTAAACCCTAAACCCTAAACCCTAAACCCTAAACCCTAAACCCTGTGTCTTTATGCGGAATATTCCTTTAAACCAAGGGGTATTGGGGTCTCTGTACAGGTTCTGTCGGCTCCTACGACGGCTCATATGTCGACTCATAGCTCCCGAAGAATGCTGGTCAAAGATCGCTTCTCCTCCTCGGCGTCCTCTTATATTTGCTTAACGACGCCCCCCCCCCCCCCCCCCAACGAAAAAAAAAAAAACTATCCTCCTTACAAGGGCAATATAGGGATCATCATTCTTACTGTTTGGGGGAGTTCTTAACAGCAAAATAGTAGTCCTGCGGAGGGCGTTGGGAAGTCAAGGATCAGCTGCAAGGAGTCGCGAGCATGCTCCAATCTGCGCTAGGCGGTAGGGTTTAGGGTTTAGGGTTTAATTTGGGTTTAGGGTTTAGGGTTTAGGGTTTATTAGGATTCAACAAATCTTGCTCAAGAGGATCCTCTTGAAAACGCAAGGAGGGAAAAAAATAAACATCCCTAGGGCCAAACAAAGGGGCCTTCATTATTGGAATAGGGTTTAGGGTTTAGAAAATTATAAGGGAATACTAGTGGTAAATATTCCGACCCAGGATGGGGGTTCCGAGATTAGGGGTACATTAGGGTCCACATTATGAGGGAATCCTAGCATGTGGGGATTTATCTAGGGGTCCCCTATTTTCGTAAACCCCCCTAAACTCTAAACCCTAAATCCTAAACCCTAAACCAATATATACCAGGCGCAGTCAGCAACCTTCACGCGCACCACCTTCTGAGCGCCACGGCTTTTTGCACCATCTCTTGGCGCTCGTAGTCGGGATCAATCCTAGCTTGGTTTAGGGTTTAGGGTTTAGGGTTTAGGGTTTAGGGTTTAGGGTTAGGGTTTAGGGTTTCGGGGGTTTCGGGTTTGGGGTTTAGCCCCTTATAAACACTTCTTGAAACAAAGACACATGCCTATCTTTCTTACTCTCCAATAGCCAAGGAAACATAAGAGCTTAAACTTGTTTATTCCTTCTGGAAAACTAACAGTAACAAAAACCCTCAAAACCACAAGAGGTGAAAGACAAACTGTCCCAAGGGCCTACCACTTGGTAACCCCGTAGCCAGAGTAGGATAGTTACCCTTTTTGGAGTTGGCGACTTCGTAAGGGAACCTGGAACCCAAAGAATGGGCCAAAAGGACACCACTGTGCCCTAACCCTAAACCCTAAACCCTAAACCTAAACCCTAAACCCTAAACCCTAAACCCTAACTAAACCCTAAACCTAACAAGACCAAGAATCCATCAACTTGCGCTCCCAAGTGGTGCCTCGAGAGCAGTGTTCGCCTGATCACCGGAGTCAGTGTCCGAGTGAACGGCAGGAGCATCTGGACAACGCACCCGTGCGCATCCCAAGCTTGCGGGCGCAATCCTGCAGTGCATCTAAGAACTGGAGGCACTGTGGGCGCCGCGTGCACATGATGGCTCATCTGCCAATAAGTCCGTATCGCACAAAGAGAAACGAACGAGAGACCACTGCTGCTTGAGAGCGCTTCGGTTCTCCGAGGAAGCCTCAATGGGAAGTGAAGGGCGACACAGCTCGAGGGCGACGTGATCTGCCTGGTAGGTGGGCTGGCATTGAAAACGGAATTCCTTGCTTTGGGACTGGCATGTCTCCTCCCAAGCGCATCGGTGAAGTACAACATGGGTTCCTTCGGAGCTTTCCTTGGTAGCCCAGGAACCACCTTGTTCTAAGGGCAGTAACCCTCTTAGGGTTGGTTGCCTGAAAAGGGGACCTTGAGCCAAAACATGGGCAAAAGGGGTACCAACCCGAAACCCTAAACCTAAACCCTAAACCCTAAACCCTAAACCCTAAACCTAACCTTACCACTGGGGCCACCAGGTTTCGGTCGGGACTTGATCCCGCACAGATTGGCACGTGCCGAGCAGCAGCCTCTCGAGAAAACCTGCGCGAGCAGTGGGGGGCACTGCTCGGTCGCCGCCAGTTCGTTCAAGCCGACTGCCGCCTAGGATGGCCATGAAAAAACCTTCCGACAAATAATCCTGAATCTGACCCTCTTCTACCCCAAAAAAAGAGAGAAAATGCACAAGAGTCCCATTTTCCCAAAAGAGAGGAGAAAAAGATGTAATCCTAAACAAGAGACAAAAAAGAGCAATGTCCCATAAGGGCAACCCTAAACCCAAAACCCAAAACCAAACCAAAAACCCAACAACCAAAACCCTAAACCCTCAGCCTGCCGAGCCGCTGCTTTTCGGCTGTCCATCGAGTCCGTGCCTAGTTGCCCGATACCTGGCTTCAAAAAAGCTTGAACTTGCTTTTAGTCGGGGATTTTGGTATAGCCCAAAAAAGTTTTAAGCTTTAATTGGGTAGAGGTTTCAGAAAGTTTTGAGCTTTTTCGTTTCGTGGGGGTTAGTATACCCTAAACCCTAAACCCCAAACCCAAAACCCTAAACCCAACAAGTTTAAAACTCTCTATTGGGCTCCTAGGGTGCCATCTCCGCGGCTCTTTGGCTCGCTCGTCGGTGGTCACATCCTGAAAGTGCTCCAT